AATATATAATTTTCCATTCAATTTCCACAAGATGATAGTCAGACATTTTATCCACAGTAAATTCCATGAAAAATACAGTTTGTGGAGACAAATCCCAGGTGACCCAAAGCAAATTTAATTAAGCTCAGTGATGGATCTAATGCTACTAATTAGACTAATAATATTCAATTGCTCATATTGCATGAACAATCGCAAACTTTCAATGTGCGTCAGTTCCGATCACCACCTCACTTCACTTTCACATGACGATCACTTGTTCAATAGTTTACAATTAATCTTCACAGAATTGGATATACACTTATACATTGTATACCACTATTAACACAAAAAGTGCATGCAATGAACCGATCCATGCTCTTCTATTTGCATCAAAATGCTACCATACAGTAGTTCTGATCTGTAATGGCACCATTTACATCAACCTACATCATAGTACATTTACATGTACATGTAATGTACATGTACAATACTCATTACTGTAAATTAATTTCCCTGCTAGCAATTTGTAAATATCGATCATCAGCTTTCATTCAAACATTCAATAATGATCAGCTCAAGAGCTCCACATTGCCTATATCCGTATTGCAAGCAGAAACCTTCAGGTGAATTGGCAACTGTGACTGCCCAGATATTCAAAATGAAGAGCCTTGTTGATTGAATGATTGAATTAACTCAATAATATAAATTAGAACTCAAAATGATGTCGCCATATCTGAATTCGTCAATTTGAATTCTTCCAGTCATCTTTGATTTACAGAGATGTATATTTACAAAAACGATTATAACATCCTCAAACCTATGCCTTTGACTGTAACCTTCGCCCTTCACAAATTTTAAATAATTAATTTGAAGCACACAAATTAACTAAATAAAAGTCCATTAACATATAAATTATGATGTTAGACACTGACAATAAAACAGAGCTTATTTGGGCCACAATTACTACATGTACATGTATAAAGATATTTAGTTAACCATGTTTGGGCTTAGTTTACTGAGAAGCATTTATAAGATCAGTTAGGATACTATGGATGACTGGATAAGTGTTAACATGCCTCGTGCTTTACAGTGAGTACTGGTAGTTTTATTTCAAGTTGAAAAAAAAAAAAATTTGTCAGGTATGGAATGTATTTGGAATGTATTTGGAATGTATTTGGAATGTATTTTCAATGTATCACAAGAGGAGGAGGAAGAGAGAGGAAGCAAGTTTGTTTTAAGTTTGTGTACTCAAAACCATATAAATTGCTCAAAACATCAAAATAGTAAAATAAATAAATGTCAGTGAAAATAAATGGTTTCAACAGTAATTTCCAGGAAATAGTGCTTAAACACTATTTTTAGCTCTATGATGGAAGCTTTGGCATTTTGCATGTAGTTGAAGTAACAAACAGGTTCAAAGACAGAAATAGCTCTAGGTAACCCAAACAAAGAAGACATAAATTTTATCTGTATGAAAAAATCGAACAGGAAATACAGGTACTATTTAATTATTAGTAAATGCAGTTGTCAATGAACAGCCCTAATCATACACTGTACAGAAGGAATTGGATCGCTGAGAATAATGACCATATCAATAATTAATGAGGAGGGTCAGTGATAAATACGAGCTAAATCAGACAAACGACATTGGCCGTGACAATGAAAAATAGATACATGTACCTGTATTTAACAAAGGCAATATTTTTCGTTTCCTTTGACGTTGACCTTGACACTGTACCGTAATATCGTGATCACGGGGAACACAGTCACGGGTACCCGATAGAACACTATTTTAACAAAATGACATGGGTACTAATCCAGAAAACGGTAAAGTATGACATTAGCGTACTACGCGTTTTCCCGACGTGTCAGCTTAATGTACACTGTACCTAGTCAAACCCGGTAGTCAATGTCATGTGACAATTACTAACATTATTGGCAATTCATTATTATTAGTCATTGTTTACAATGACATCGAAACTACTAGAATGATATCGGGAAGAACGTAAAGGTTGTGACATAACAAGACTGCGTGTGTTTATGGAACATATACATGTACGCTTGAATTCAGTGTTCAGTGCGTTTTTTACTATGGCCATCGCGTGTGAATCAATGACTCGAATGAGTCAAAACCATTGATCGTAAAGTGACTATGCGACGAGTCGATGTCTTGCTAATTAAATGGCGTTAAACAGCCAGGAAGAACGTTTTCTTCGAAACATACGCAAATTTTAAGCTTACCTTACCTTCTTGCCTTGCTATTTCATGTCCCCTTTGTTCGCTCAGCAATCATTTTACGTTTTAATATAGACAATTTCTGATCATAAAAGAAAGGTCAACTTCCTGTTTCACAGCTTCCATTACATTAACCGGGAATTGTGGGTAACGCCGGTTTAGGTCATTTACCCAGAACCTGGCGGCTTAATACTTTATTACAATGTTCTCTGCCATATTTTTAATTAAATCATTTAAAAAAGAAACATTATTACGCCGACTAGTTTATATGCATGCTGTTGGAATGCATGTTTTTGTTAACTGTATAATATCACTCCCCTATTGTTGCCAAATTTTGTATTCCTTTAATTCAAACCAGAAGAACGATCACGTGACTTATTACATTATTTTATTATTACATTGCCAACAACATATATTTATAAATGACACAGTCGTCTGAGCTACAAGCACGTAATATTTCCGCTATCTACATGGTGTCGCTAACAGCGATGATAAACAACGGAAGTTCTGTGGTGAATGGGCAAGAAACGGATTGAAAAGGTCAATGACATTTTGGTCATTGCTTGGATTATGTATAACACATATTTGCCTGGACAATGTTTTGAATAAAAATGTATTTCAACTGTTATTATATTTTTAGTTTTCAATGGGGGGAACTTTGTGAAAACCTTTTATTCATCAACATTTTTATTTATGTTTTATTCACAAACGGTATTTTTTAGTATACTCACGCAAAATAACCGTGAAATACTAGGCGATATTGATATACTAGTAAGATGTTTCCTATTACATCCCGAATTCGATTAAACTTACATTATGTCCATGTAATATAGTACCCCAGCTGTATGTCTACATACGTTGACCATGTAAATATTTCGCCCTACTAACCGTATACTGCAAATGCATTAATTATTCATATTATTTTAGATTTATTGGCAGGGTAAAATAAAAGAGCAATACCATTCATAATTTTACTATGCCAAATAAGTTAACGTAGAGACTACACCATAAATTGTTTAGACTGCGGAAACAAAACAGAACGTAGGCAGAGCGTTGTGTTGGTATGCCCAACTGTCACATGACAGTCGCTCTTTCTACGAGTACATATTTTAACATTGCACTCAGTGTATAATATGATGCAATCTTATTTTCAGTGTAAATACATTGAAATTGCGAGCAAAACGACAATGTTTAAACGCCATACTCGACTGCGTGCCCACTCACGCATGATGCGTATATAAGTACCCGGATCAGTAATAAAAAAAAAGGTAACAGTCGAGACGTCAGATAGTCTCTGCACACTAGTGGAGAAAACGAGATACTATTAGAGTGAGTATACTTACCCTAGTTGGAGGTTATTATTATGAATATGTTCGACCTGTTCTTTCATTTATCGTTTTGTAAATACTTGATAATCTCATATCAATTTCCAGGAATTCATTAATAGTCAGTCACAGTTCACAGAATTAAGAGTTTGTGTACATACTTACAGAATTTACCTAGAAGCGTCACGGTGTTTCCTGAAACATACGAATTACTATTAACCCGCGCTAAATCATTAACACAAAGCTGATATATATGTATATACGAGTTTTACGAGTGTCACACCGCTGCCATATTGCGCACCCACGCAAACAAAAAAGAAATACCCCGGATCGGAAGCAAACTGGTTTTTACCGGGAAATGGTACACAAAGACACGGAGAAGGACACAAAACATATTAGTCTCCGTGGTATATATCGACACGTTTTCAGATTTATTGAGCCAGATCCCGGTGGTGTCAGACTAGTACTAGTAGAGACAGGTAATTGAAAACTTAGGGTGGGCTACAGTCCCTCTATAGTCTATAGAGGGACTGTGGGTGGGTCGTATAATTCTTCTGACACAAACTTTAACGACGCATGAATAATAACTGCTGAACTGAAATTCTTACAGAAACTCCGCTAGAGGGCTGAAAAAAATATGTCAATTACACGTATCTTCACCGCCAGGTTTTACTGAGCTATTAATCGCCCTACCTAATGCGTAGGTTGGACCATAATTCACTATGTTCTTCAAGTTCGCTACCTCACCTGTAATACGTCGAGAGCTCATACTTACCCTGGTATATCCTTGTATACATCAATGAAATGTCAAATCTCGCATTTTGGCAACATAAATAGTACACATCTCAATTTTTTTAGCAGTGTTTACATTTTAAACAGGAGTGCGTCTCCCAGACATTTACATCCTATTTGATATCCGTGTAATACCCACACAGAATGCACTCATAATGATTAACTGGTATCAGTAACGCTCCAAACATCGACACACTAAATCATAGACCTTAGAAAACTGGGACAAGCTACTGTAGGTATCCCTTTCATGTAACCTTAGTTGAGGGGGGGGGGCAAGGGTTATTTTCGTTCAACGTAATTGCAATATTTTTTTGTTCGTACAACGTAAATAGAAAAAATAAATTCCGTAATTCTGTAATCACAGGCTAGACGTACAACGTAATCAATCAAATATTTTTTTCGTACACTGTAAAAATGTGTCATTTTTCTCGTACGTACACAAATTCACATCCAAATAAAAAAATCGTAAAGAATAATCCAGGGAAATTACATTTTAGAAACTGTAAAACGACTAGATGACAGAATTCACAACAAAATTG